AAGGGCATTTTTTTACCTTTTAAATGAGCCGAAGGTCGAAATATTACCTTTAAACAAAGCCGAAATATTACGGTTAAAGTGATGACATCTCGTTTGATTTTATCAAATTTTTCAACCCTTTAACATTAAATAGTGGCTGTTTGATGGTTTTTATTGGCTGTAAAAAGTGGCTAAAATGTTTTGGCTTAATAAGCAATTTTTTAATGCGCCGAAATCTACTTTTATTATTCAGGAATAGCAAAGAAATATTTACATTTCAGTTTTCTAACTGTTAAAAAATATTAATACTTCTCCTGAGGCTTTCTTTACAATAACAAATTATTGTGTATGAGTCCCTTGAAGTTAACGTCTGCGCTATTAAATGTGTGTCTTACGCGCCAACGTAGGTAAGAGGAAAAGGTAACTAAATAATTTTTAGTTTTCCGTTCTTTAAGTGCGGTAAGTGCGTTTGAATTGAGAAGGGTGGATTCGCATGAAAATCCTGGAGTATGAAGCTCATAGCTGGTTCTCATGAGTCGCAAACGTGGACGTCCCATCAGGCAATAAATGGTGTAAAAATAAACAAGTGATACATGCTAATTTAAAATATTTATTTTCCTTTTTTCGTATGTTATTATTGTTATTATTGCTAAAACTTAAAAAAAAAATGAACACAGAATTCACGAACTGTCAGGGTAAATTACCATGTAACAGATATAAAGATCGTTTCTTTGGTTTCGTTGTGTCAATAGTGGTGGTGAAGGGCTGAAGAAAAAAGTGATGGTTAATTGGTTTTGTCTAATATTAAAATGAATTTTTCTCTGGTAGAAGTTTTGTAATAAATATATATGAGAAACAGTTGCATGTGTATTTTTTTTTATTTCGAAGGTACCTAAATCTCAATAGGTTATGAACACAAACTTTGAAACGAGGAAGTATATGGTATCATTGAAAAATAGTATAAGGGATTACGTGTTTAAAAGTAAAAGTTATTAAAAATAATAACAAGAAATTAATTTATTTTTACTTAATAAAAGTTGTGAAAGTGGCACAAATTTCAAAGGATAATTTAAACCTAGCTTATACGTCAGCAAATATATGGGATCTTATAAGGGTAGTAAAAAACTATTATGTGGTAGGCTTTAATCTAAAGATTATTTCTTTACGGAGAACTAAATGAAACTACCAAAGAAAATTGAGCAACCAAATAAAGTTTGTAAACTACAGAAAGTATTATATAGTTTAAAGCAAGTACCTATTCAATAGAACAAAAGTATATTGCAAAGTATTCATGAAATAGTAATGAAGGGTACTATAAGAAGAATGAGTGATATTAGTTGATGTTCATGTAAACACAAAGCAAAGTTTATAACTGCAGCTAAATGTTGCAAAGATTCTTGCATTTAAAGGAACTGATTAAAGAATTCACCGATGTACTATAGTTAAGATTAATTTAAATGTAAATAATCAAGGTGTTATTATAATGAATTAAAAATAGTGTATTTAACAAAAGAAGTAAATATATAGATGTATGTAAGGTACAAATTTATGTGAGAAAGTGTAGTGTGGTGAAGAAGGTATAAGTTATTATTCTACAAAAATGCAACTGAAAGACTTGTTTGTGAAACCATTGCAAATAAATAAGTTTAGTTCATTACCAAAAATATATTAAAATAGTAGAACATTAAATTTTATTTGTATGTGTTTTGATACAATTGTGACAGATTGTGAATGAAGGGAAGAATGAAACTTAAAAAGAATCAACAAAAATGTTAATTTATGGATTGTTATAATGAATTACTATCTGACAGATATAGAGGTTGTTTCTTTGGTTTTGCTGTGTCAATAGTTCAAGTGAGGGGGTTAAAGGAAGAACTAAAGATGGTGGCTGATTGGTATTGTTTAATATTAAAGTGCATTTGTCTCTTACTAGTTTTGTAATAAATATATATAATGAACAATTGTATGAATTTCTTTTTTTGATTCTGTAACTGCTTAAATCATAGCAATTCTTATTTACTACACAAACGACAGTTCTTGAAGTAATAGCAAATAATAGTCGAAAGTATGGACTTACTTCAAATTTGAATAAACATAACCCTAAATGTGAAAGCTATCAGATTGTTATACAGGTAAGGAGTTAAAATGTTCAGTAAAAAAATTTAACTAACATGTTTATTTGCTGGTAGTTATAATTTCTTTCTGTAATAAATAATAGAATTAAATGTTACTTTGTTTTTTGAAGTTTAACCCCTAAGCTACATAATTCATGATTTTATTTTCGAAGTTTGTATTTGAACGAAATGAATGGCGCGAAATATATACTGCTAATGATAGATTTTATTTTGTACTTGATTTCCTTTTGCATTAATACAACTACATATCAAATAAACGTATAATTGTGGAGAAAAGTTTTTAATTTTTATGTGATAAAAGTGCATTTGATTACCAAAAATGATACCATGTAGTATATGATAATTCAGATAGTACAATTATTTCTCTGTCGTACTACTACCTTTTTTAATTTTAAATTGCAAATTTTTTTAAGAAGTTTCATTTTTAAGCATATTCGAAATATCCCGGCATGTTGAATGATTCACATATCCGTGACTAATCTGCGACATATGAATTCGTTGATAGTGATAAAACCAATGACAAATGAGGGAATTATTATTAATGTGTTAGCTGTCTTTATATATTATCTACTAAATATATTTGATACAGAGTACTATAAAAGTATTTCTGCGCGCTTCACTGGTTCATTTTGCTGTTTACGTACAATTCTCAGGATGAAGAATCTCATCATTGCATCTTTATTGCTATGTACCATTTCTCATGTGGTTTCGGGCAGCCTCATCAATTTACACCCTACCAATGATCCGAACAGTGAACTTAATACAGTAAGTAAAATTATACATACTAATATTCAATTGGGGAAAAAACAAAAATTTTAAAAAACTTATAACATTTTACAACAATAAATTACCACGTACGGCGTGTCGCTGAATTCATCTAAACAAATGCTATCGTACTATGAAAATAAAAATATATGGTTCCATTTAAAACGACCTTGACTTTGAAATTTCTCCACACAACTCGATCTGCAAAAAATAATTTATACCATATGGAGTCCCCCTTCATACGAAACAACATTCCAAACATACCAAAGTTTAAGCATTCTTTTGATAGGCTCAGTTCCTCACAAGATATTCCAATTTTTCAGTATAAAAGAAACCCCCTGTATATTGTATTATTAATATAAGTATTGCATATTAAATACTAAGTATATATTAAAGTGTATTTTACATTAGAACTGTACTTATCACGATACTAGAGAACAAGGATGCGCTTATCATTGTAGCATATTATAGCAATGCTTATTACAGACGTGGCATCTTTAATTTGACATGTTAGTAAAAGTAATTAATATTTAATTAAATGCAAAATACTCAAGAAGCAAAACAAGATTTTTTTGCCCGATAACATATTTATCTGTCCAATTTTTCCAAGAAAAAAAGCGACCAAAGTTTTGTAATTATTACGTTGAATATTAGTTATCTACAAAGTGGTTTACAGGTGCAATTTCCTGAGTGTATATTTTCATGTTTTTGTACTATTCGTAATTTGCAAAACACGTTGTGTTTCTGAATCATCAAATGAATTTACGTGTGTACTTATTGTTAATTAAATATTTGAACCGTATTTATCATGTTAACACGACTATTGCATGGAAAAATTATGTGGGATCGTAGCGGAGCATTTCCGCGGCACTATGTAACGTTTATTAAGGCTGTGTTTAAAATAATCATAGTAATTAGTAAAATAGTTTTAAAGTTTTCGTAATAAGGTAATTATAGTTCAAACTGACAAAATAATAGCGTTTGTAAATATATTATATTACAAATCATTTGGATAAAATATATCGAGTATTTAGTAACTTTCTATGCCTATGAAATATTATTAAAATGTTCGAACATTTATTACATTATATTAACGAATATTGCTGAATTTTGTTTAAATCGAGATATGAATTGTATCTCTCAGATACACTTTTGTGAGATGACACTATCTATTTATAGTAACACTGACACTATCTTTCTTAACCACCGAGATATAAAAAATTTCTTAATGTTTGTTTGATAGCATTTTATATTTTGAAAATTAATAAATAACGATGTAATGCTTTTATCACTACAGCTACAGTTAATACGAAGAGCGGGTTATCCAGCCGAAGCTCATGTAGCGTTAACGGATGATGGCTATCTTTTGACGATGCACCGAATCCTAGGGAAACCTGGATCGCCTGCGATTCTTTTGCAACACGGTTTATTAGGTAGCTCAGCGGATTGGGTTACGCTCGGAAAAGGAAATGCTCTTGGTAAAAAAAAAAAAAAAAAGAGAGAGAATACACAGATTCTCTACTTGAACAATTTTTATAGAAAATTAATTTTAATTTTTAAAGCAAAAATTTTAACATTTAAGTTTCAATTATACGAAATTAACTTTAAAACCAGAAACGTGATGTTTATTATCATTATTTTATATTCTGAACTTTGTTCTTTTCCACAGCTTACTTATTAGCTGACCACGGTTACGATGTGTGGCTTGGAAATTTTCGTGGTAACACTTACTCGAGGGCTCATACTTCTTTGTCTATCGAGGATTCGAAGTTCTGGGATTTCAGGTAATTGTAACAGTCAGAAGCGTATTATAATACATTAAACGACAAGGAACTTGGAACAGGCGCAAGTTATGATGATTACTTGATTTTTATTTAAAAATCGTATTTAATATGGTAATCAACGATCGATAAGGATATTTTTATCAAATTAAACGAGAGTTGCCAATTATTTTCAAATCATTAATAATACTTCTACAATAAAATATTTGTACAGCTGGCATGAGTCGGGTATTTATGATCTACCCGCGATGATCACCTACATCGCGAGGCTGAAGGAAAATTTGTTGAAAGCATATATTGGATTCTCGATGGGTACAACGTGCTTCTACGTGATGGCCAGCGAACGGCCGCAAATAGCAAGACTGTTGCAATCGTCGTACATGCTTGCCCCAGTAGCTTTCATGAAACATGTACAGAGCCCTTTACGGTATATAGCCCCGTTTGCAAATGATTATAAGGTAAAAAGAAAAAAAAAGAACATAAGCGACTGCAGCAACTTGTTCGATAGAAAGAACTGAAGTTCTCATCGTACTCATTCCATGTTAATTTTTAGCTGATTTCCCATCTGCTCGGAGACGGCGAGTTCCTGCCGCAAAATTTTGTTTTAAAATTCTTATCAAAACATTTGTGTTATGCTGATTTCTTGGAGGAAAGAATTTGTGCTAATTGGCTGTTTATTTTGGTCGGATTCGACAAAACGCAATTTAATTACGTGAGTATACAACGATGTAGGCATATGTAAAAATCTATGTTTGCTACACCAGTTTTTAATTGTTTATGCAAATCTTGGACCGTTGTAGTCGTTGATGCCTATAATTTTAAATCATACACCGGCTGGTACATCCGCCAAGACGATGGTCCACTATGCTCAAGAAATCAAGTCCGGATACTTCCGACAATTTGATTACGGTAAAATAGAAAACATGCAGAGGTACAACAGTACAGAACCACCTTCGTACAATTTAACTAACATCGCAACGCCAAACGTACTGTTCTGTGGCCCTAACGATTGGTTCTCTAATCCTCTTGTACGTATTTCAAGAAGTTATAATGAATATCGAAATTAAAGTGCTTCAACTTCTTCTTTATTATCATTGCATATCTTTGTTTTAGGATGTGTTGGAGTTAACCAACCAGTTACCAGAGAAGCCAGTTGTCTATAGAGTACCATATAAAAAGTTCGATCACATAGATTTTATGTGGGCTACAGATGCTCCCAAACTAGTCTATAAAAAGTTACTTTCTATGTTGAGCGAAGGAGCATCCTAAATTATGTTTTCTAAAAGCGTAAAAAGTTTGTGTTATTTACTATTTAACACACACACACACAAGAAGTTATATTCATATAATAAAAAACATTTTATTATCCGTCGTTCGATTTCCAATATCCTTTATTACTTTTATTTTCAACAATTGTATCGTTTCATTTGTAAACAATCATAATTGAACGATAAAAATGTAAAATTACTGTAAGATACCAGTTTGAACTTAACAAAGAAGAAAATTAAACGAACGATGTAATATTTATTTTTAACATCTAAGGTTTTGTTTAAGCCACGAACATCACGCCATAAATCATTTTAAACAATAAGCTCACATTTGAATAAAACTGTGACCACCATTACGTTTCAAAAGGATCCTGCTTGAAACGTGGACGATCGGTCGGTCCTTCGAACAATGGAAAGATCCAGAGATTTCCAGCTTCTTTGTCTTAATATTCCTTATTCTTTATACGAGATACCTCGAACGTGTAAATGACTTTCGACGTGAATAATCTGGCCAACCGATCGGTCCGGTGGTGCATCCTGAATATTAACCTAACTTAGGTATTTGTCGTCCACCGGTGTTACGTAAAATGTATTGATGTCATAATCTACGGATCGGCCCACAAAGCCATGGCCTACTTGGTGGAAATTTCAGACAAATTTCTATTCCGCACGACAAAATATTACATCGATGGTATCGAATAATAAACCAATTTTGCAACATCGATCCAGCTCTTTGCTGGATTCCAATTGATCCCATGATACACTTTCATCATCGTCAAAACCGGCAAGTAATACCCGTTTCTTCGTGAAACGAGATCAGCTAGGTCCACGAAAAGTATTCGAGAGAAGGTGTGGTCATCCTCAAGGTGTCTACGGCGCATTTATAGACGAGCATTCTAGAATTCAGTGTCGATAGGTTTTGCTAATGATTGTGTAATGGAAAAACACCGATGGCATCCGCGAGGGTCCCTCAGGGAGACTCCAAGGATGTGACTTTACATACGGGCTTTAGATTTTATTATGCGTATCTGTATGACATCCTTATCACGTTATTTAGTAAAAATCAACTTTCCTAACGATTAACTGCTGTTCTTTTTTTCTTTTTAGATTGAAAAAGGGGAAGCAACCAATGCTGGTTTCTCACCAAGGACGAAGAAAATCTTTCGACCTTTGTGAGAAAAAGACAAGGTACAAGGTCGTTTGTTGAGAAAGTTGTCCCCTAGCAGGATTTTCCAGGTCAGAAACCATAAACTTCCTCGAATTATTTCTCAGGGATGGACAATTCGTAGCTTCTTTATGGTCACCCGGCACCCATAAGGATCGTAAAGCTGGACGTTCTCGCGACACTCCAATCACGTACCGATTCACCGACGACAAAAGAAGCGTATTAAAGTGCACGCATTGTGATCTACCGGCCGCGATCTTTAATGCATTCAGATGCACGCACTAAGTGGCTCATTATAACGCACGGTACCGTTTATAATCGATCAGTGGTACGAAACGTTCCATAAACGGGTAACAGTGAATTTTAAATTTATTCCAATTATACGGCGGTTAATAACTTTATCGTAGGAAGATAAACGTGTCTTGCAACCGTATGATTATAATGTAGCAAAAGAGCCCTGTGCAGAATATATTAATATAAATTAGAATTTGTTGCTATTTCAAAAGTGAACTGAAGAACACTAGTCAGCTTTTTAAAAGAAAAAAAAAAACTTAAAAGAATAATCATAATTTAATTAGCGAGATACATATCAAGCTTCATCTCGAAATTGTAACGTTACACATAAATCGGCTAAAAATATTCCACAGCTTATTACCAACAGAAATGTAAAGAATAATTTCCTCGAAGCAGCTCAACGTTTCTTCTCGATGTATTAATAAATATAACCTACCTACCACTCCTTCATAATTTAAACCAGCTAATCTTCTATTTAAATGCAGCCGATTTTTTTCATCGAAACAAGTCAATACCGCAAAATAGAATCGTTCTCCGCTAGTTCTCAGCATTCTAACTCGGTCGTTACTCATCGAGCGCGATCATTAACTCTTCACGTCATTAATATTCACATACCGTGGACTCTGTCACTTGTACATATGTACCTCGATATGACGTTCTTTGCTCTTCTCCCTTTCGAATTCACCAGAGCAGCAACAGTTTCAGAAATTCTTCGATAAAATGCCAAATGGGAAGAAAGAAAAAGGCACTGAAAAGGAGAAGAAAGAAAAAAGATCAACATTGAAACTGTTACACACGAAGGATCGAGCAAAATGGCAGACAGCGAGCAAACAACGATTTTCATCGTACCATTACGATCGGGTTGTACGCGAGCAAAGTCGCGAGACACGCACGTGCGTGCGTGGTCGGTTGCGCTCGCGCTTGCGTTTTGCGGTGGCTCCGCGTGCGGCGAGGCGCAGCTAGTAATACAGAAAAGCCACGGGCCGAAGGAACAAAAGGAGCAGAAGGAGAAACAGGAGGAACAGAAGCGAGCTCGTCGCGAAGGTAGAACGCGCGTGTACCGTGCACTTGGTGTACCGTGTATCCATCGTGACAGAGAACGAGAGAGAGAAGGAGTAACACACAAGATAGAGACAGAGAAGGAGAGAGAAAGACAGAGACACAGAGAGAAAGAGAAGAAAAGAACGAGCACGACTCTCGAGCCTCGAACTCGAGAAATCTTCGCGAGTCCGGCGAACCGACACACCGCTCACCGATTCCAAAGTCCGCCGGTAGGCTCAGTTGTCTCCGAACCCCCGAACTGTTCGGATGTAGCTACTTTATAGGAGTTTCTTCCACGCTTTTTCCACGCTTTCGAAACCCGCTCGTTCGCCGTTTATTCACTGCACTCGCCTCTTTTGCAGTCCACCTTGCCTTGCATAGCTCATTTGTCGTCGCGATCTCGTGTGGTCTTGTCGTGGTGGCATGGTACGGGCACGATCTTGAAGGGAAGAGAAAAAAAGATAAACAAAGTAAAAAAACTCCGACGAACGCGTTGAACGCGACGAGGAAAACACAGCCGGGAAGATTGTGCATTGCTCCGTGGAATACACACGCTTCAACGAATCGTTTTAGTTGTATCGACGCATCTATAGGACACAGAGAAGTCGGATCCCGAAGTTAGAAGGAGGAAGAGCGCTGGAGCGGCGAAGAAATCGGAAGAAACTCGAGAACAGGGACGAGTATCCGGTCGTCTGGAGGAAAGAACGATCGAACACTGTTAACACGTAAGCGATCTTTTTTTTCTTTCTCTCTCTCTCTCTTTCTTTCTCTTTCTCTCTTTTCTTTTTCTTTACTGATCCTTACGATATAGATTGTAAATGCATAGAGAGAAGTTGCATTTGTTACCGATAGGTCGTTAGAGTTCTTTCTTGAACGAGAGAGCCTGTCGCATCGATCGTTTTCCCAGTTTCACGATTGTTCGACAAAAATGTATCGCGAGCAGGTAAGCGCGAACGAGCGAGCGAGCGTGCCACGGGGCTACATATGTACAGTTATTTAATATTTATCACTGGCGACCTCATTTATTTTAAGTTATCGGGTATCGGTATTCCGTTCAAGTCCGCGCGCGCGCCACCGCGCCAGAGCAACCGTGGAAAAAGCTGATGCGAGAAATCGGATACACACGAAAATAGTGGCCTGCCAAAGGCAGAAAGTGTAACGTGAAATCGTCACCGATACACGCGCTGCGTGACACGCTCGTAAAAGCGAATTTAAAGGTCCCGGCGAATTGGCCGACAGGTCTCTGGCGTGCTGTGGATCGAGCTCGCGCCTCGATTGATCGATTCACATCGTTGTCGTTGTTTGTTCGTGCTCTGTAAAAATTCTACCAAGAGGATTCTTTCATCCTTGGCTAACATGGAGCACTGAATTTAAACGCGGATAACGGGAATTCAAATCGAATGGTATAGACGCTTGTCCATAGTCGAGGGGACGTAAAGCGAGTTTTCATTGAAACATTATAATTGAGTATCTGTGTTTTACCTTGGCTAGATAGCGGATTGTGTAAGGTAGCGACACCGTTACTAAATGTATACGAATATTCGAGATGTAGGGACGGAAATAAAGAGAAGAAAAGGGTATTCCACGGATTGAGTTCAAAACTGAATTTCGGATGTGTTTTCGAACGATCGTTTCGGACAAGGGACAATAGCGACATCTTCTTGGTCCAGAAACTCTATTGAGATAGATTCTTCTATTGAAATCGTTTTATTTATGGTTCAGGGGTTTCCGGTTATAAATATTTTTGTTTTGTTGGTTTGAAGTACGATGAATGTTAAACTGTGTAAATGATCAAGGTACAAACCATATGGAACTGGTGGAATTCTTCGGGTATTTGCGACTTTCGAACGAACATCCGGTTTGGTGACTTACGTCCTCACGGTTCATTCAAGTCGAACCGGCGAACAGGTTGAAGAATCGAATGGACGTATTGGGATATGATTTGAGCAGGGAAGGTGTTAGTAACGATCAAGGACTGTAATTGCGAGTTGAACAAAGTTTCTGTACGTGTAATATACACAGTAGGTAAAAAGTTTCGAATTATTACATATATTACGAAAATTGAAGAATTTTGGTATAGAAACGTTTTCTGTATTTTAGGTTATTTTAAAAAAGCTTAAAAAAATAACAAGAGATTCGATTTTCGTACAAATAGACGAATTGACTTTGAATGTTTGGTTATTCGTGTAGGTGATTTTAAATTGAGGAAAAACGTGTAATGTAAGGTGCGCAGAATACAGAGCGCATATAGTGTCATAAAGTTAGGTTTCAGGTTCGAAGATAGCAATTACGCGGACAGTATCGATGACCAGAAAGTATCGAATAATGAAGATAAATAAACGGGAAACCGATATGCGTTCCTGAAAAGATTTTTACGAACGGACCGTAGGCGAGATTAAGTGCAAGTCATAAAATTATAAATTCCAAGTTCAGTGACACTTGAAATTATACAAAACGTGTTAGTACCTGCGAGCGTGAATATGAAGCAACTGATATGTCGTTCTTATTGTTGTTTTTGTTAAATCAAATTATTAATGCTATTAGAGGATGATAACCAATCGAATTACTTTTCTTTTACGAACGACACGTTTTAAATTAATTTAAAAAAAAATTCACCACGAACGATATGATTGTTAACTATCTGAAAAATTCTGCATAAAAGTGTGCATGCCCGAACGAGATAAAATCGTGGTACAGTCTTTCCTAACCGATCACGAATATCGAGTAAAAACGATCGAAACAACTAAAATACCTGTATTTGATCTGTAAAGGATTAAGTTCAAAAAAATCTGAAGATACGGTAAAAAAAAATTAAGACTAAAACACTCTCTGACAAAGGAAATACAAAAGGAAATACAAGAAAGTATATGCCTTGGTATAAAATGTCGAATAGAAACCTGTTGAGAAAAGAAGTAAAAAAATATATGCACACAGTTTTCCTCATTTCACTGTTACTCGTAGTAGATCATTGCAAAACACGATCTCATTGAATCCCGCATTTCAGCTTGGTGTGCGCGCGTTGAAAAGCGCGCGCGGCTCCTGATAGTTTTCTTATATATGATCTTTGAAACGTAACTTCATCTTGGGTAGGTATTATATTTACTCCGTGGCAGGACTGTCCTCGTGGTTGCATACTTCACATTATGAACAAAGAACTGCACGCAACATTTTTTTTTTTTATATTACTACCACGCTGACTCTTCGACGATGAAAAATGATACAGGTGTTTCGCAAATGTCTTTCTAAACGAATCACGGCCGCGATTCCAAAGAATTATCGTCGTTTCGCCCTTTATACGTAATTTTCGTACTATGATCTATGCTATGATGGATCGTTTCTACCTTAGAGAAGAAAAAAAGAAAAAAGAACACTGATATAACGTCTAATTGTACCGAACTGTGACACAGAACAGAAGAATGCAAATGAACAGCATTAGGAGTTACTCTGATACGCGCAGCTGCGCTGAAAAATATCTCGGTGAATTGTGATTCTTACGAAAACATTGATACTCCGAGGAAATGGAGAATCGACATTATCGCTGTTCCTATATCGTTCGACTAATTGAAATAAGACGAAGATATAAGATAAGGAAGAAGTGATAGAAGATTGAAGAAAATCAAGTTCAATGCTGACCGATCGGCGCAATTTGCTCTTGTCCAATTACCCTGGTAGAAAATGATTCGTCATTTTTATTGATTAAAACTGAAGTTTTCGTTTCTGGGAATTGCGGCGAAGATCGCGAGCATTTAATTACAAAGAATTCCACGTGGAATTTGTTTGTTTGATCGCAATTGAAGAAACAAGGAAGTTTGTCGAGCGCGTGCAAACGGCAGCGTGCGATATTTGAGGCGTTCGTGTAAAATTCTTCTAAATAGATCCACGTGGACGATTACGTTCGAACGATTCGTATTTGTTCAAATTACTCGTGACAAATCGTTCACCATAGACATTCGGTAAAAACATGTAATCGCGTTTTTATCGAAAATTGTTATCTGTTCATGATCCTTCGGTGTGTAAAGCAGTACTCGTCGCGACGATGAAGCCGTGAGATATTTCATAACTGAGAAAATTTCATAATGAAAAGAAATACGACGGTAACTAGCTGTCGGAAGCACAAATACGAACGACTCGATATGAATGAACCAATTATACCTACCAGACCGTTTGTAAAATATTTCACTCGCGATTATTCAAAGAACCTTCTTAAACTCGCTTCCTTGTGACGTTTCACATCTTCCAAATCCATCAATGGCTTTGTTATTCTTTCCTATGTCCGTACAAAGTCTGACCAACTTGGTCTAATCGGTGTTTACGTCAGTACCTTAACCTCGTGCCTCATTGTTCGAGCGAAGACCTTAGTATAATAAAAGCGTTCACGAGAGCGAGCAGTCGGTAAAAGTAAAACGCATTGTAGAAGGCTCGTTTAAACCGATTTACGAGTTAGGTATAAAAATCTCACTTTGCAGGTTCAACTTAACCAAGAACCGTTGAAAACACTAAACTTCGCCGTTAAAACACTTTTTAGAAATTAATAAGTAAATTGCTTGATCGTTTAAGCTACATTTTGAACTACCGATCGAACGAGAAGAAGAGGAGGAAGATACGAATGAAAAATTCACAAAGTTACCAGAATTTGAAAAATATCATCGTAGTAATATGCTGGTACACGTGTTCCTACCGAAATTCAGGTGTACCTACACTTCCGCTGAAAAGTTTCGTCGCATCCGTTAAAATACGGTAAAACTGAAAGTAACTATAGGGAAAACTGTCGAACTGTCGAGTTCGATATGAAACTTCGAAATTGATAAGCAGATTTGTAATTTCGTCGACTTTGAGTGAAACGTGAATTGAAATGAAAAAGATGCATTAGACGAGAAGGATACACTTCACTCTGTCGAGTTCGATATGAAACTTCGAATTTGGCAAGCGGAATTGTAATTTCGTCGACTTGAATGAAACGAATTGAATTACATCGCACTTCTGCATTGCGCGATTAAACTTATGAGCGGTAGTAGCGTATACAGTAACATGACTTTCATCGAAAGATGAACGTTGTTGCATTACGAGACCGTAATTCCGAGTGTTGGACATTGGTGTAGCGTAAAGGCCTGCATAGTAGACGGTACGCTTACGCCTCGGAGCATTTCGTTGTGAAACGATTGAAGCATTTACGAGTCGATCGTTCCACGAGGACTTTCTAATCCGCCGTATATACGTACAGGGTGTCCCGCAAGGTGTGCCGCGCGAATGCTGCGAGTGACAGATTCCTGAGTCGAAAACACGACGCCTTTTCGCGACGATCGTCGACTTCTCCCGGTTACGATCTCGGTTACTACTTTTCAATAGTTAGATCTAACGTGGAAATCGTATCATAAAACGACACGAGAATCTTTCTTATGGAGCAGTTTCCTTGTTTTTTAATCGAGTTTCAACGTTGCATCAACTGCTTCGTATATGTGATTATCAGCGATGACGATTCGCAGTAAATATATTAGAAGTTCGATTTTATTGTAGAACATTCAGTCCCATAGGAAGGAGAACACTTTCAGTATTTGCTGAGGGTAATCATTGAGATTTTCATTCAAAGTTTCCTTAACCTCTTCAGGGACACCGACACATATGTGTACCTTTAAATTTTCCGAAAATTCCAATATTTGCGATAGAGAAAATATGAAAAACACAATCTCCCGAAATCTCCAAACATCTCCTAAGGAAAGTAGTTTAA